GTTTGTTTTTTTTTCATCCTCAAAAAATGCTCAGTGGAAAAAGTCATGATGGCATTTCCGACCTTAGGTCTCTGGTTGGGACAGCGAAAGAAATGAATCTATCTATCTATCTATCTATCTATCTATGTGAACGCTTAAAATTCTATAGTTTGTTTTACTTCCGAAAATCTGACAAAATTATCAAATATCAGAATTAAAAAAAAACTCGTTTTGTTCAGGTCGAGAAATTATCAGCAAACCTTTGTAAATATTCATAGTTTGAGACGCAGATATATATAGATATAGATAGATAGATAGATAATGAAGAGAATTTGATTGATAGATAGATAGATAGATAGATAGATTTTTAAATCAATTATTATACTAGACATTTTTGAATACGACCATGAAGGTATTTCAAAAATACATGCATATGTGTGTCTTGTTTTTTTTTTTTTTGATGAAATTGAAAAACTGTCAAGTGGATGGGTATGGATATTATTACTCTTTTTTTATTACCAGTGGCCTCGAAGCATTGGGCATTTTCATTAGTTTCGAAGCAAAACATTCTCCTGGGTACTCTCTCTCTCTCTCTCTTTCCTTCCCTCTCTCCCCACCCTCTCTGAAGCAAAATCCCCATTTCCACTATTGCAACCACGATCTTAGAAACAAAAATCCCCATTAACATTTTCAATGCCGTCGTCTTCAGCACTCATTACCGACATTAACGTCACTAAGTGATTAATTATGAATTAGCATATTTATTATTATTATTATTGTCACGTCGATATATCGCCGTGAAGAGCAGTGACGTAAGCCTGTTGCCAGAGAATGAACATCCACCCTACCATCCATTCAGCCTCGTGAAAGCCAACCTCACCCCTATTCTCAGGTATGTTCTGTTCACGAACCAGCCACGCACCCTAACACCGACAAGACCCAAATCTTCTTATAACGAAGCTTGCTACCACACCTTTCAGTAATTTTACCGAAGATACCCGCCACCCCGCCAACCTCTTCTCCGAACCTCTGTCGGTCGATTTCATTTTCGGCGCCGTTCCTCACATATTTCATTTTTTGTTGTTGTTGTTGTTCCCGCACCCACACGAACACACACACACACACACACACACACACACACACACACAGATGGATAGATTAGAGAAGGTGCTGAAAAGTTGTAGGTACGACTCACTTTCCAGAATCACAAAATAAATAAATAAATAAAAATAAATAAATAAAATAAAAAATAAATAAATAAATAAAACAACACTAAATTTCAGATTTTTTTCAGGCTTCTTGGTCAATCCAAAAACTTTTCTGCAAGCCCTCTTTGCACACACACACATATATATATATATATATATATATATATATATATATACATGTGTGTATGAGTATATTTATATATATATATATATATATATGTATGTGTGTGTTTGAGTATATTTGTATAAATATATATATGTATATATATATATGTGTGTGTGTGTGTGTGTGTGTGCATGTATATCTGTGTATATATATATAAATATATATACACAGATGTACATCACACATAAATATATATATATATATATATTAATATTTACGTTTATATATATGTGTGTGTATATATGTATTAATATTTATGTGTGTATATATATATGTGTGTATTCATACATATATGTGTGTGTGTGTGTGGTGTGCGTGTATATATATATATATGTGTGTGTGTGTGTGTGTATAAATGATGCAATGGATAAATTGTCATTTATATGACGTGAAAATGAAAATAACACTGACATTTCATTTTAACATATATATTAACCAAAATTGCATCAAAATATCTTGAAACACCAAAGAGTAAATTTATTCAATAAAATTGCCATTGGCTTCAACCGCAGTATCCAGACGACTTCGGAATCAACTGCAGCTCTGGATAATCTCCTTGTTTAATTTGGTAAATGCTGGCATAATCCTTGACTTCAGTTCATCTTTGGTGTTACAAGGAGTTTTCTTGGTCTCTTGCTTAACTGCACCCAACACAAGGGGATTGTAGCTTGGAGAGTTAGGTGGCCAGGTGTAAGAGGTGATGTGGTTGCAGAAATTGTCTGACAGCCATGACTTAGTTCTCCTGCTTGTGTGGCATGGTGCAGAGTCCTGTTGAGTCTGAAGCCCTCATCAACAAATTCGGGAGTTCTTTTCTCATCAGAACGATCAGAGTAAGATTTCCAATCTGCCCTGCCTTTGTAATCACCATTAGACTCTTCCAATTCTTTCCTCATACTCTGCACTCTCCTGAGATTGATATATATATATAAGTCATCAAAAACGAGTAAGATTGGCCAAGTAAGGCGAATAGAGAAAGGCAGTTCGAAAAACAAGGCGGAGATTTTGTAAAACAATTATATTGATGATATTGGAGAAAAGAAAGAAAGAAAGAAAGAAAGAAAGAAAGAAAGAAAGAAAAAGAAAAGGTAGAAAGTGAGTGGAGGAAAAATAAGAGAATGTAAAAGATAAAAGAAAGGAAAAAAATCATGGCTGATCAAAGGGAGGTAATAAAATATGTTGTCAAGCATCTGTTGAAAGAAGAGATGGACTTCAGATTTGTTCATCTTTCCACATATATATATATATATATATATATATATATATATATATATATATATATATATATAAAAACAGTCTATTTCAGAATTTGAAATCGACTACCCGGTTTCATTTTCGCTCACTTGTATACAAAGCCAGCGACGGATATAAGGCCAAGCTGAGTAAAGAAATATCTTTTGCCAAACTTAGCTCCCTCTCCTCCTCCTCCTTCTTCTTCTTCTCGTCCTCTTCCTCATCATCAGTACCATGACCATATCGACCTCTCTGGATTATTTAATGTCGAAATCTTAATATTTTGAACAATTTTATTCTTTCAACAAAATATATTTTGAACGCAATTGTATGTTTTCAACTCCAAATATATATTGTTGTAAATTTTGCTATAAATATGTACTGTTGGTCATTTTACTATGAATATGCTGCTAATTTTACCATAAATATATATATATATATATATGAAATAAATCCCAAAGAGCCAAGAACAACCTACCTAGGTTTCACCTAAACGGATCTTCAGGGTAAGTTGGCGTTATTACTCGTTTGGGGTTTTGGATTAAAAACTTAAGGCACTGGAGGATGTATTTCGCCCTGGTCGGATTTTTCTAGTTCTAGTACCATTAAGGGTGGACCTGGAAACAACAGTAATTAGGATCTCCCGACTAGAAACCCTTGCTGCCGGATGTAGTTTGTCGTATGACCGTGGAAAGATTAGACTTAGCTAATCTCGGTAAACAAACGAGTCAGATACGCCGATTGCTATTGTTGAAGTGAGCTCGTTTCTAACTGAGTACCACCTCCCCAAACACTTGTTAGCTTGTGGTTTATACTAAGCTTTTAGTCGAGTATATAGCGATAGCCACTGTGCGCTTTTAAAAAGAAAATAAAGATTATATTGTTCTCTTTGAGCAATTTTGTTCTTATTTTTTTTCTGTTGCTACTTTAATTTCTGCTATTTTTCTTTTTCACTTTGCTTGAATGGTGAAGAAAACGAAAGTGAGGCTGAAAAAAAAATAATCTAATCCCTGACATAAGAGAAACGTTATCTCTGTACTAAAGGATTGGTTAAGAATTTGTTTATATTTGCCTGTTTTTATTTCATTCTATTTCATTTTTTCTTTTTTTTACGTACATATTTTATTTTTAAGTCTATTTCTTTCTACTTTATTTTATTTTTCAACCAATTTTTTCGTCTCATAATCTTTGTGGCTGCAATTTATGAGTCAAGAGAAAGCAGTCAAACCCTGCTGATAAGTCGAAAGAAATTTAGTATTATTTATTCATTTATTTATTACTTCCTTTTAACAAGAGTCGCATTGTTCGAATCTGTCACATCACCCAGGGCGCGTCCATGTTGCAGACGGAAAAGTTTAGTGGATTTTTAAAATGAACAGAGACAAGGGCTTAATATTAGCCCTGAATTCGCTCATATATACGAATTGGTGTAAGAACATTTTTTAGACGAGACCTTAAAAAATGTACAAAAAATAATATATGTTATATATTCTGATACAACTACCATCTCCATCGAAAAAATCCCCTTGGGAACGTATGCAGCGATCACGGTGACTCCTTTTCATGACATAGTGAACAGACTTCGTAGAAAACGGATACATGCTCATGTTTTCCGTGAGGATCTCCAGGCAGACTAGAGTCTACCAGGAGATCCTCACGGAAAACATGAAGTCTGTCCACTGATTTTTCGTCACTATCTTTATCCAAGTCCGTCTAAAGCACGTCGGATCGGACAGTTTTTCCTGCAAAAGGGGACGCAGGTTCGAATCCTGCAGAGGAGCGCATATTTTTTCTTTAATAAGGTTTCTCGAATGTTTAGATCGGTAAACGAAAATAAATATAGTTAAATAAATAAAGGGGACGTCTACTCCAATATGTGGATCCATTAAAATAATGTTTAAAAACCTGCCTGATTAACAAATAAAAAAAATCCTTTCTTTCTTTAGAAGTTGCTTTATTTACGTTCGAATAGGAAATTGAGCAGATATGAACTTTCGAGCATCTGGTATAGATTTGCGCTCATATATATATATATATATCATTTCACCCCTAACAAGACGATGATAGCAATAGGTCTCAACTGGTTACTGTGAAGGAAAGATAATGAAGAGATTTTAGTGAGGAGAATTGAGGAGAAAAGGACCATGAAAGAACAGGATCAAGAAGACAGAAGTTCGCGATTGCGTTTGCATTCAAAATTTGATGATTGTAGTTGACAGAGAAGCAACAAATCAGAAGGGAGTTTCACAGGTGAGAAGTGCGAGGGAAAAAAACTGCTAAAGTAGAAATGTCGGTTGCATCTAGCTAGTTCTGCAGTAAAACGGTGGGACCTAGTTGCCAATCCAGTAGAACGCTTCAATTCATGCATCTGAAGCATAAAGGAGGAAATCCTATCAGAACAGTTTCTGTTAAAATATTTGTAGATAAGGCAGAGGGAAACCACGTTATGTCGGTGAGAAAGTGACTGACGCCAAGATGCCTGGCCTGGATCGATTACTTTACAGGGCTTTCTTTGGATTTTGTCAGGAATTGCGGGATATACAGCCGGGGCACCAGACTAGATATGACAGCAGAATCCAATGCACAAGTGAATGATAGATTTGTAAATGTTTAAGATGGATTCTGACGAGAAACATTGTCTGGCAGGACACAGTGAACCAACTTTCATAGAAGCAGGCCTAGCAATTGATTCGATACAGTCACCCCACCTCAAGACAGTAGAAAACGGGAGACCATGAAGGCGCAAAATGTTGCTCTCCTGGAGTTTAGCGTCATCCATGCCGATTGCTGACAGAAACATTTCTCTGTATTATTCAATGAAAGCAGTTTTGTTTTGGAGACGTAAAATTTACAAGCCATTCCTTGCTCCAGTTAACCACTGATTGGAGGTCTTAATCGAGAGCAGATGCCTGTTTTACTTTGTCGGATAGAGAATAGAGCCCAGGAAGACACTGGCATTGATATGAAACGAACTATAGTTCTTCTTTCAGTTTGTTTATTTTCTTCTATAATCTTCCGTTTTAGTTTGTTTATTTGATCCTTTTATTGGTTATAAAATAAGTAAGAAAACGAAGAATCCTTATTCAACCAAGGCTGGGGTCCCCTACAACTAGAATATTACTTATAGAATGGATTCTGATGGCAAGAATTTTCTGTCACAACACAGTGAACCAATTTTCCTAGCAGAAGACGTAGCAGTTGATTCACTATAGAAACTCTTTTTCATGTCAGTGGAAAACGTGAGCATATAAATGCACAATGGTTTGCTCTCTTGGTGACCAGCATCTACAGTTTCCGGTCATATTTCAGTCCACTTTTCTTAGTAACTCTTCCGATGAGCTTTCCTCTTTGGTACTTCGAATCGACGAATTTCCTTTACTAGATTGGCCGCTAGGTATCACGGTTCTAGTGCTGAAATTACCTGATGAGATGCATTGATACGCATGGAAACACGACTGTAATTGTGTAGCGAGTTTGACATGTTTTCGGCGTAATATCATTAAATAAAAAATTATATATATATATATATATATATGTGTGTGTGTGTGTGTGTGTGCGTGTAAAAACTCTTCATTTTATTTAAACAATATATTCTTAATTGGTCATTTAAAACAATAATTCATCTTCATTTGTAGATTATTATAGCATTATTGCCTGGCTGTGCTGTCCCTATTTAAGAAAAATTGAAAACTTCAATTTACTTAAAATAAATGACTATAACGACTCTGCATTTTGCATTCAGTCGGATATCCTCTGGTGTCAACAAAGATAAACAACAATGCACACACATACAATATAATAAAATACGCCACAAAAAAGTCTTATTGTATGCTGCTACATATATACGCTGGTTTGGAAATAGCTCTAAGCGCTAGGAATTTTAGAGCATAAATACCAGGAACAGACATTTCACGGTGTCTTAGAAACGTATATATACACCCTTGTGTAAATTATTTGAAACAACCGCTTTAGTTTCTTTCTTTCACCATACGGACCGTTTTAAATCCACATGAGTGGCAGGGTGTAATTGATTTCCATTTTTTCCTCAGATTTGGTCATTTTGTACAGTCATATGAATCTATTTTCGGGGTGTATGATGAAATATTGCGTCATCCGTGACTGCATCAGATTTTTATCACGTTCAGACACTATTGTCTAGACAGTCGATTAGTTGTCCTACGTCCATTGTCTGCGGTGGTCGTTACTCCAAGGAAACGTACGAAAAATGTAACGTTGCATGAACAGAATGTAAAGCCTAAGAAATGAGCAAATCAAAGGACTGGCCCGGAAACGCTGCTGATTTAAATCCAGTTGAAAATCTGTGGTCAATCTGCAAGGAACGATTTCGTGGACTGGACATACGAAGTAATAACATGTGAACTGGGTTATGTGTGTGTGTCGGCAGCAAGAAATAGACGTTTTCTGAAAATGGCAAGAAATAGACGTTTTCCGGAAAGGTAGTCATTTCGGCAAAGCTAGAGTCGTCAATCGATTAACTCTGAGCAGTGAGTTCAATTCTCAATAAGCGCTAAGTATTCGAGGGCGCGTTCGTTATCAAATGTTCGAGTCTTTTTGCAAGTAAGAGTTAGGTCTCTCTCTCTCTCTCTCTCTCTTTCTCTATCTTTGTTTCTAGATCAAATTAAATCAACGTTTTTTTTTTATCTGTTTGACCATTTTTATTTATTTATTTATTTTTGTTTACCCAGAAACTAAAAATTGAGTTCTCTGCACGTGTTTCTCGAGACAAATACTTCCCTTCTCACACATAAAAATACTTTTTCCAATCCAGCATTTTCCCTTGCAACACACATACCCACCATTCTTTGAACGTATGTTTCAATATATATATATATATATATATATATATATATATATATATATATATTATATATATTTGAAAATGTGTGCCTGTGTGTG